ACTTGCCCATAGCGCAGCATGGGGAACCAGAGAACAAGCTAGCATCTCGTAATACAACGGAATCTTGCTGATCATAGTACTATTGCGATCGCATATAGGTACGGTTCAGTGCTCTGTCAGTAGCCGAATCAGGGTACAAGCTTGATCATAAGCGAACACAAAATGCAGGATAGCCAACACTAACATTGGAAATGTCGTTGCTCGCACTACATTACAAAAAAAACGTTCTCTTGCTAAAGTGCCCATCCCGTTCGCACGGTATCCAGTCGGCTCCATGCATACTCTCGCTTCACAAGGAGAGAGCTTTCAGTCGTTTCACAAACTAATCACTTGGCTATTGTCGGGCAAATATACCTATGTCAGGAAGCAGTCATAGCGCCCATTCCGCCAGTCCGTCCATCGTTCTGTGCGGCTGCAGAACATGAATATTCATGGGTATGGAGACACAACGATGCACCTGGTTCAAAACAGCAAAGCTCTGAGCTTCATTGTGGTAGGGTCTTCCGGAAATATTCGTCCATCAACCAAACTTCAACGGCCACCTCAAAAGGGCGATTGATTTGCAGCTTTCCGTTCTCCGTACATACACAAACGAATATGTTACAGCCACCCCTAGGTCTTTCTGTCCCCAGATTTCAGGAGTGCCTGCTCCGCCATCGATGAATGGGCCCTGGGACTTTCAAGACATGGATGCTTGAGTACCGAAGCTGACCATCTCATGAAAACAGAGAATCTTCATTATTAGGAACTCTAAGGCAGTTCTCGGGGGAGCAAATATAAGACTTTACGGTACCTAGAATAGGATGCTAAAATAAAACTTAGGCAATCAGACCTAAGCTTAGGAGGGCTCCTTTTTAAATCTTTTCATCACCTAGTAGTATAAAGGTCCTAAGTTTTCTGACCCCCCCCTGGCAGTATATGATCTCACAGGATATGATTAATCATACCTCGAATCCAACGAACCTGATCAAGCACAGCACATATTTTATTCTGCATTCACAATTCGTACAAGCGCCTATGCGTCGTTATTGAAGTACAAGACTTTGAAGAGGTGAGCCTCCTACTACTATTTGTGAAGGGGGGGAAATAGCCATGCTCGGTCTTGAATTTACCAATGACCCGTCACTTCATGTCGTTTACCGTGATTGAGAACCCCGAGTGGGATCTTCTGTTAGTTCCACTAGCGTTTTGACCAGGATGCCAACGTTCTTTTTCTTCGAGAACCTTATCCTAGGTATACTTTGGGGGCCCCTGCCCGTAATTATCTGCTCTGATTTCAAACTGTTATTGTAATTCTTCTTGTAGGCAAGTTTGCGAGGACAGATCCTCAGCAGGCTAAGAGAACTTGCTTTGGGGATATCTGGAAACCGTATGTCTTGAAAGTCCCAGAATTCTCCTAGATTTACAGAGCCTTTACTCAACCGTACGAAACTCATGCCCAATTCGTTAAACTTATAGTTCGCTGTACGTTTCTTTATAGTAGGTTGATCTTCTTGTTGTAAGGGAATACCAATCCATACGGAGTTGTCGTAACTCTTGAACACCACTGGTCTAAGTATCTTCTACGCTGCGCACATGTGGTTTAACTCTGCTGCTTATTAGCAGCCCTCTACGGATACTGATCGGGCACTCAACGAATTTGCCGTGTACATGTACGCTTCTATTGCATTCTGTTACCAAGGAATCTTGTGAAGGAACATAGTAGAGTCTTGATAGTCCCAAAGACCTTGTTCTGGGACAGGAGGTGTACACCCTTCGATCTGATTAACCACTCGCATTCGTTTCTGGGCAGGCCGGCCATAATCATCAACAAAGGGTTTTGACAAGAATGAAACCGGCATGCCCTCTTGGCCGAGGTGTGGAAGACAAGTGCCCAACTCTGCGATCTTTAGTTTCATATGCTATCAATGAGCGGTGATATTCTAATTCCTACCTCTAGTGATAGAACTTGCGAGGGGAAAAGGAGAGAACCCGCTTGTTTCTCATTTATAGAAGTATTATTAGAAATCTCTATGGTCGTTAAGATACGGGTATAAACCTGAATTGCTCCAGCATAATCTTGTCGGAGTTCCTGGTTCTGTAGGTATTATATGGAGGACCATCTCTCCCCCATATCTGCTGGTACTTTCTTCCTCCCCTTGATCTAGCGGGTCACAAGTATAAATACGGAGAATTCCCAAGTGGCCTGTTTAATATGGAGACGATGAGGTTTCAAGATGAAGCTTGTGGTAATCCAATTGGCAATGGCCACAGCCTAGTCAGCTGGAATCGTTCGGGTGATCCTTGTTTGCTGAAGCCCAAGCATGAAACACTCGACCGCCGGGTCGTAACATCATGTAACAAGCATGGGATCTTTATACCATTCGAGAGTCTGCCTTGAGAGTCTTGTTGTGCTATTATGCTATCATAACTCAAGATTGACCACAGCCTGTGGTCGCAGGTATCAATGTGATGGATGTCATATAACCTAATAGTGACAACAAGTTTGGCTTCCGACACCCTCTCATGTCTGGAATATAGTCCATAGAAGCCATCTGTATTCGCGCCACTGCCGTATATATACCCTAGCAGAAGATCGAGTGTCTTGTCCGTACTGGAGAAGAAACAGCCTAGAAACATATCAGTTAAGCTTGATGGTGTGTTTCGTTTTCAAGGCAAGCTCGAGCTAACCTGCCTGCTCTGTAGTTGCATCTTATCCGTGATATCAAAACAGTCTCTGGAATCTTTAGCAGGGCTCGGGTTTCCTCTATTATAATATGCAATCCTGGTTGATGGGACATGTGGATCGGATGACAGTGTAGGATATAACTCGTCAAATCGAAGTCGAAAGCTCACACAAAACCACGGCTATGTATTTCCTCATTTCGATATAGTCCGTCACTGTGCTATTCTGAACGGTTTCATCATTGAGATTTCCTTTTGCCTCTCGTGGTGAATCAGAATAAATAAATCTGTCTTGGTAAACAGAAAGAAGCAAATACCGAGAGAGAGAAAATTAGGAGTTGGTTTCAGAGTCTTGATGCAGACTAACTGACTATTTCACAAGTAGGAGGACTTCTATCACTTCGCAAGTCTATCCCTCACTGTCGCTTGATGCGAAATGGGTAATTCTCTTGGCTGCATGTTCGACACGTAGAGCTTAAGCATGCCTTTCCAGAGAAGCTATGCCTGTCTTCTGCTCAATTTTGATCAGCGTCCTCCAGTTCTCATAAATTCACCGTGTGGTGTATCATTGAAAGAGACCTATTGGCATAGCAAAGACTACCTAGCTAGACAAGGTCTAATGATTAGCGGGTGTTTCAATCAGTTGGTCGAACGAAGGCTCGCAAAGAAGGCCCGTAAACAGAAGCACGAAACTAAACAAAAGGTGACTGAGCGCAGATAGACAGTTTCATCTTTTCGGCGTCAGTGCAGCTAGGCTGCTGCTAGGCAAGCTAACAAGATGTGTGGACTCGGTGATGGTTGTTTCGAGCTTTGACCTGTAGTCTGCATTTTAGCAATTGGTGTGTGGGCCTTGCTTGGGCTTGGTTAGTACTTTGACAAAAAGACCCGGACTCTCCTCCCATAAGAAGAAGTTATAGAACCACGCAGAAGTCACCATGAGGACATTGAATCAACCCTTGTGTTTATGAGGCAAGGATAAGGGTAATGATTCAACAGACACAACTGCCGAAGAGGCTGACGGGGGGTTCATTTCAAGGCCATTGCCGCCCTGCTCTGACACCCATCAGGAAACGGATGTGTCTGCATGAGCCTTGATTGCGCGGTCAGACCTTTTGAGAAGGTCTCGGCTCTATGTCGTACGATGATGTACTCGGTGTATTCTGACAGAGAGAGGCGTGCTCTTGGGCATCATTTCCAAGTGCCTGGGAGAGGCAAGAAAACTGAGCATTTCGGGCCTAAGTAATGAATCCTAAGCAATGATAAGATGTTGGTCATTTAATTTAAGCCTAAGGGGGCTCCTTGGTGAGTTTATTTTAGTATCTAAATCTCCTTACTCCACAGGATTGCGCTCTTCCTCATCCGAAGCTATATCAATCAATATTGATTCTCTTCATGATACGGTCGTTGGTATCCCCAAAGTCGAGCAATTCCGCTTCCTGTTCAAGTACCGCAGGAGCTGACAGTAAATATCGACAGCGTCGTCATTCTTACCCAAGAGATTGCCGATGTAGAACTTTCTGTATCCAAGTTGAAAAAGCGACTGTCGTTCACCAGCTCATCTACCATCGAAGGGTAAAATACAACACATCATACGTGAAACTCTCGTCATTGAGACATTCTATGGCCATATTCAATGACTGCTCCTCTCTTCCTGTTGCCCAGGATGGCTCAATGATAATCAGTGAGAGGCCTCTGCCAGAGCTAGACCAACGCCATCCCTAAGTAGCACTCAGTTTGATCACCTATATAAATACCCAGGCGGGGCGCTGATGAGAACAAAACTCTCGCGCCCATATCTCTGTTTATTATATTTGATCTCGAGAGCGGCGAGTAGTGATGTGGAAGACTTGTCTGGCCAGGCCAACGGCATCATAAGAGACTCCCTGTCAGAATACAGAGTCCGCAATCATCTTCAGTCGTTCTTTGCATATCAATTGATGCTCCAGCGGGATCGTTTGCAAAGGTCATCGGGTCTTAACTGATGGAGGAGAAAACTCCAAAAGACTACTATCCTAGGCGATGACAAGACTTGGCTAAATTCAGATGAATTTAGTATAACAATTCCACAAGGCTTTATACTAGTGACTTGGTACATTGAGTTATTGCCGAGAACTTTTCTTGCTTCCTGGGACCTAACAGGGTGATGCTCGGCAAGATACTGCATAACTTCCTACGTAAGTAACTTATGTGATGTATGAACTGGCCCATTTCAAACTCTCAGGATAGGGTAACTTGAACATTATTACAGTTTTTATTTTTGTTTAGACAGTCTCGCGAAGAGCATACTGAAGTTTGATCAGGTATTGCTGTCACCGAGGATCTGTCAACGGAGTGACTCAGTAATCGTAAAAGCCCTTGCCACTCTTCTTACCATACCACCCAGCGTTGACCATATTCTTCAGCAACACACTCGGCCTGTATTTGGAGTCGGCGGTCTCCTCATACAGAACCTTCATGATAGAAAGACATGTATCGAGACCAATAAAATCCGCAAGCTGAAGAGGACCCATGGGCACGTTTGTGCCGTTCTTCATGATGGCATCAATGGAATCACGGTCTCCGACGCCAGTCTCAAGACAAATGATGGCCTCGTTGATGTAAGGCATGAGGATACGATTGGCAAGAAATCCGGGAGAGTCGGCTGAGACCGAAGTAATCTTTCCCATGCGCTTGCAGAACTCAACGGCAGTGTCGAGAGTGTCCTGGCTAGTCTGCAGGCCGCTGATGATCTCAACACCCTTCTGTACAGGGACGGGGTTCATGAAATGTGTCGACACAACACGAGAGGAAGCCGAGGTATCAGTGGGATCCTTGGTTGTGGCAGCGGCGATGCGGGTGATGGAGATAGAAGAGGTGTTTGTAGCGAGAATAGCGTGCTTGGGGCAGATCTGAGCCAGCTTGCCAAATATGTCAAACTTGAGATTGGGCAGCTCAGGAACAGCCTCGATGACCATGTCTGCAGAGGAGAGATCTTCCATTTTGGTGCTCGTACTGAGAAGAGAACGGGCGCTGTCGGCCTGCTCCTGTGTGATCCTTGACTTTGAGACATCCTTTGCTAAGAGTTTCTCGGCAAAGGCAATGCCCTTGTCCAGAGCCTTGTCTGAAGTATCGATCAAAGTAACGGGAACCTGAGCCCTTTGAGCTGCAACAAGAGCAATTCCTAATCCCTATCGTGGTGCTGTTAATTGTCTGAACGCCGGCAACGTCTTTCACATGCTCTTACCATTTGACCCGCACCGATAACACCAAGCTTCTTGACCTCTGCGGCAGCATATTGGCGAGGTGAAGAGCTGAAGCAGCGGGCATGACGCGCAACTGCCATAGAAGGCATTCGAAACATTGAAGCAGCCATTCTTTTTTCCCTTCTCAAAGAGTGTGTGGGGGAATTTCAAGACCACGATGCAATAGTAGAGTGCCAGGTCTCTTTAAGTTCTTCCCCACGGGGACGTTGACATCTACGCCGACGCCGACGCCGAAATCAACGGCTCATGCCATCATATTGCGGGTAACCTCGGCTCGGAGCCGGAGGATCTTTCTTATCAATTGCCGAGAAGCTTCTTATCTTATCAATTCTTATCGATTTTCGCGTAAATTACCTACCTAAAGGTACCTAGACACGCCAGTCAAGACGCGTCCAAGCGCGTCGTATATCGAAGTGGTGGGACTACCTAACGTACTACCTACCTAGGTAGGGTATGTTTTCTGATGTTGTCAAGGCATCACAATTACACGACCTGTAAGGCAGAGACAGGCAACAATTTGTCTGTCAATGTCGAGTGAATATAGATCATGGAGTTGGCAGATGGATCAACAGATATTGTGCACCCAGAAGTACGCGCGCACATCAACAGTCTTGTCTCAGCGGTAAAGTTTTCCATAATACCAATAAGTTAGAATGTTCTGACAAGCGGATTCCAGCTTGGAGGTGTTGGCGCCGACGAAGATGGCGGCTATCAACTCGGTGACGATGCCCTCGAGGTTCTTCGCGATCTAAAACGATGGATACGCTTCTACGACGAAAAGACGAATCGGATGGATGTTGCGCGATGCATACACGAGGCGAACCTGATCGAGGGCGACCTGCTCCCCATTCTCTCTACGTGGCCCGAAAACGCCACGGACAGCAAATTCAAGTCCAGGATAGCCTTGGCTTGCTTCGAACTCATGGTTCCTCTCACCTGGCCAATGGCAAGGGACCGAGAGCGAATGACGGTCAATCACCACCGCCATATGCCGGTCCTTGAGCTTGCTCAGGTTGGATACAAGCGAGCCGTTATCAACTACGATGGAGCTCGCGTACTTCATACTGCTGTACGGGTGGCTCTCCCTTCCATGGCAATACCGATTGGCGATCGAACACAGCGTGATCAAGGTATCATCAAGCTCGTCTTGTTCTTCCTCCGTAACATCGCCATGATCGAGCCTCCCCCTGATGTCAAATACGAAGGCGACGAGTCTCAAATATCTCGATCCGCCACTATCGATGCATTCTCATACCAAGACATCTTCCTCGTGCTCTTGACGCTTGCATCGAACATGGGAGAGGATTTTCGAACCGAAGATACATCTGTCATGGAAATTATATACCATTTAGTGAAACAGGTCGACATTGGAAAGCTCTTCATGAGTGAGCAGCAGCTAAGTAAGGCCAAGGCTGGAGAGCTCGCCGATATGATGAGCAAGGAGTCGTCCATGCTGAAGGCGTACAACCGCAAAGGCCCAACTCGCCACAATCGATTCGGTACTATGATTTGGGTGAAGCGAGACGACGGCAAGATGTCATCACTCTCGGGCCAAGATGCGCTGGCTGATGCCTCTATGAGGAACCAAAAGATGGATAGCTCAAAGACTTTCCGGCCTCCTCGCCGAGCACGAAAAGGGGATAAAGATGAGAAGGATCTCGGACTACCAACTAAGCTTAATTCTCGTGCTTATGACCAGTTGCGATCGTTTGTCGAAGACTTCCTTGACTCAGGCTTCAACCCTCTATTCCAACATGTCCGCAAAACCATCGATAGGGAGGCACCACATGTAATGCAGTATCATCGCCGTCAATTTTTCTACTTGGTAGCATGGTTCCTAGAAGCCGAGCGCATGAGGCGCAAGGCAAGGAAACAGTCGAGTAAGAGTCCCAGCGAGGACATCAGCAGTTTCAACCTTGTTGCTGGTGTTCTCAACCAGGAGATGTTCATCACTCTCAATAAAGCTCTCCATGAGTCGCTCGAGATGAAAGATTGGCACGAACTAACCGCTGTTATGCGTTGTTTTACGCAGATTCTTCTCACCGTGCAGGAAATGTCAGAATCAGGCAACGAGGACAACGAAGAGATCGCCGAAAACGTGCTTAGTCGTTTATTTTACGAAGAGGCAACCCACGATGCAATTGCCACCATCATTAGAACTTACAAGGACCAAAGCTTCAACTACCTTGATGCTGCTACGGAGCTCGTCCACCACTTCCTCCGTATTCTGGAGGGATACTCTAAGCAGAACATCGATATGCAAGTTCGCTCGCGGAAACGCACTCGACGGAAGAAGAAGGCTGCCCAAGCCGCTGCGGGATTCGAGAATGACAACGACGACAATGACGGTTCAGATAATGACGCCGCATCTGCCGAGCGAACCACTAAAGAACGAAAATTCGACTTTCATCGCTTTGCCACGCGTTTCACGCCCCAGAGCGTAGTCGATACATTTGTCGCTTTCACCAAGTATTACCGTGATCTGACAGACTCGCAACTTAAACGAGCGCATCGATATTTCTATCGCGTGGCTTTCAAAGCAGAGGCGAGTGTCATGCTATTTCGTGTAGATATAATTCACCTCTTTTACAACATGATCAAGGGCCCTGCTGCGCTTGACAAGTCTTCTGGGGTGTTCAAGGAGTGGGAAGAGTTGGTGAAACAGATACTGCGAAAATGCTTCAAGAAGCTTGAACAGCGACCAGAACTGCTTGTGGAGATGCTCTTCAGCAAGGGATCTAGCACTGCCTTCTTTCTCGAGTACGGCTTCGAACGACAAACTGTCACTACAGCCAGCAAGGCCAAGCCTGCAGCTGAGCTGGTCTTCAAAAACACTGAGGAGCTAGACCGGCAGATAGCTATTGTCGTCGGAGCAATGTTGGACAAGAACCAGGCAAACCATGTCGCTTGGATCAAGAAAGTCCTCGGCGACGCTGAGAGCGAACGCAAAGCTTTTATGGCAGCGGAAGAAGCAATGGCTTCAGTTGAGCCTGTACCAGACGAAGCTGAAGAACAGCCAACAGAGTCGGCGCCAAAAGCGCCTCCTATATTTTGTGAGTTCAATATGAGATTCGAGTATTTGCTCATTCACTAATAATGCTCAGTCGTGCGTCCAGATGATAAGGACCGCCGTAATGCCATGTTCAAGAACTCTCATATGCGACTTCTTATGAAACTTGTCGGCCTTCAGCTATTAGGCCCGGCGTCAGAAGAAACACCCGAGTCCGCATGGATTATACCTTCAGATGTCTCTGCCGATGTTCTCAGGGATGCGATTCACTACATCAACCAAGCTGAGTTCAGCCCTCCTACATTTGAGGAGGGTGTTCTGGCAGAACATCAGTTGAAACGCAAAAGTGTTCCACGCAAGAAGGCCGATTTCGATGACGATGAGGAGGGCGAGCTTGACGACCCCATGTTCGGACCCCTCGGTCCCACAGTGCGCAGACCCATTGACGACGAAGATGACCCCAAGAAGTCACCCAGGAAGCGCAGGCCTCGAAAAGAACTTACCGAAGAAGAAAGACAAAGGAAGCGTAAAGAAAGGCGAAGAAAAGAACAAGAAAAGTTGAGGAGCTTAAGATCAGAAGAGTTTGTAAGGCCCGAGGACGATATAACGGATTCTGAATACGATGAAGCCTTCTTCGCTCGAGAACGGGAGGCAGATGCAAAGGCAACGGCCATTCGCCACGCTGCGGAGCGCCTTCCCGTATCTAAAAAGCCAACTAGAAAGCGTGGAATTGCAGCTACAGAATCTGCATCAAGTAGTAATGAGGAACAGGGAAGAGGTGGAGATTCAGAATCTGGTCACGATTCTGATTCTGGCGACGATTTCATCCTAAGGGCAATGAATACAACTCTTGAGGAAGAGAACGAGGGGCAACCAGAAGGAGCATTGCGACATGGCAGTGATGGAGAGAGTCGCAAGAGGAGACGAATCAGTGTTGAAAAGACCCAGCCTGACGAGGATCAAGAAATGGGCGGCGTGAATAAGAATGGGGATGAGGAGGAGGAGGATGAGGATGAAACCCCTGTCATAACTCGAAGACCACGTGTACGGGGTGGGTTTGTTGTGGATAGTGATGATGATGATGATGAGTAGATATTAAGTAAGGTAGCATAATTAATGGCGCCTGAAGCATTCATGCTCTATAGCATGCCTTTAGGAGCAAAAACAAAACAAAAAAAAAAGAGAGACCTAAGTTTAGGGTGATAAAATAAACTCTATAAAAATATCCTAAACTCATCCTAAATTTATACTAAGTTACCTAAATCTTTTTATTAGTTAGGCTTTAGGTCCCGAGTTTTATTTCCTCCCCTAGGCATGGCAGTACAGGGGCAGATGATACGTCTAGATCTAATGAGCGAATGTCACCACCGAGGCTCTGCCACACTAACCTCTGGGAGTCATGGCCAAGACTCGGGAGAACTGGGCGCAAGGCCTGCATAGATCAGGGTAGCCTTTCTTCTCATGTGGTAAACGAAGATTGATTCTAGATTCTCAAGACTGACGTAAAACTGCCTCCATTGCAAATGGGAGACTATCAAACAGTGGTATATCCTCCAAACATGTTATCTCACCGGCTTGTATTCCTTTATCCAAAACATAAATCATATTCTATTCTATGGATTTGACTTTCTTTGTGATCGTCTCTCCAAACTCCTCCTTCGCGTCGCTGTGCTCTGCCCAGATTGTATTTGACCCAGCTCTGCAAGATCCTCCTGACTCCTTCTAGGAGCTCCAGGATGCGCAAGCACACTATCGCGATGTTCTGGTCGTTGGAGGGCATCACTCTGCTGCAAGGCAGACTTTTCGTCGTCCTTGCCGCCCCATGAACCCCCAATTCCTTCCATGATGAACTCAGAAGCTGTTGGTTGGTCAAGTAGAGAGAGTTCCTCGGGTGAGAATACGTAGGGAAGTAGGAGAGCACGGATTGGTATCAGTGCAAAGATGATGACAGGGAAACCGACAGCGGCTACAGTCTGGGTGATAGCAAATGTTGCACCGAAGCCAAGGAGCTCGGTGAGGACAAAGTACCAGATAGCTGAGCGCCGTCGGATTTGAAGTAAAGGGCTGTTTGAAGGCGTGAGGGCACGATCGCGAGCTAGG